CGCGAGGGTCGTGTTTTGACTGGGAAATGCGAAGTTGAAGTTCGCGTTCAACGAAGGCTTGAGGTCCGTGTTTTGGCTGTAAAACGCGCCATTGAGGGCCTCGTTCAGTCTGGTTCTCGCGAAGCTCATGTTTGGGCTCATAAATACGAGGCTTGCGTTCTAAAGTAGAAACGCGTAGCTCAGGGTCGTGTCTAAGCTCATGAACGCGAAGTTCGCATTGGTTGGAGGATCGATTTTCTCGGAGTTGTGCTCGTCGCTGAGACCTTCTTCTTCGACGAGCAACGCTCTTCTTGGCCTGTTTTAAGGCTTTTGCAGGGGCATCATCAGCGTTGATTGGATCTATCTCCGTCGTAGGCCTTTTACCACCCATGACACGTCGTGTTGACGCGGGTGTGGAGTTTTCAACTCGTTGAACGAGTTTGGCAGAGGTAGAGCCCGGTCCTTTAGAGGAGGGGCTGTTTGATGAATTTTGGCCAAAGGAGAGGACTTTCTTCGGCACTCCAGCAACAGTTAGAGATTTAGTCTCCTTGGAGACTTGGTGGATCTTGCGCATAGCCTTGGGGCTAAGGGATCCAGAGGAGATAGCCTTCTCAAACTTGGCTTGATCAAACTCTACCACGAGAGTTTCGACGATTGTTCCAGTGAGATGAACATCGGATTGCACCACCACTTCTTCGTCAGAGAAGCTTGTCCCCAGCAGAGTCGCCATCTTTTGTTTGGTGAAAAAATTCGATGTAAAAGAAATGAAAGAAAAATTGATTTGTATTCTCTCAAAATCGATTACAATTTGGATTCCGATTACAAAAGAGAGAAGAATGAATTTGATTCTCCCATTTGTTTAATTCTGGGTTCTTCACGGTAGCGATGGAGTGCCTCCCTCGAATGCTTGCGTCGAGTTTGCTCTCTGTTGATGATCCGCACGTCTTGATTCACTGGAACGATATCACCTCCTCACGATTTGACGTTGTGGAGAACTTGCGTGGCAAGTTTGAAACTCTTGATAAGTTGATAACTCTGAACGAGTTTTAACTCTTGAAAAAGAGTTTATTTGAACCGAAAGTTCGGTTGATAAGCCAAGGATGAAGAAGATCTTGTTGCAGATCTCCCAAGCTCCAGAAAATGCTCCAAGGATCTCTTCTGCTGCTATCAAACCGAGAGCCAAGTCCCCTCCGCGCCAACCTCGCTGCCAATTCTCCGATCCAAAAAGCCAACCTGAACTCCATTGAGTTTACCCATATTTATAGCGAATTAAGGGGTGTAACCGCCCCCTTAATTCTCTCCATAATGGGATTGAGAGGGGTGTAACCCCCCCTTAATCCGCTCCTAAGTAGGGCGGAACTCCCTCAAATCGTGGAGGGAAAACGGTTCCTATAACCGTTCAGCTCGTGTTTGAACGAGTCAAACACCCACGTTGGCGTTCAGGACCCTAACTCCGCATTTTAGACTGGAGACACGGAGTTGGGTACCCGCTGGGCATTGAAAAACACGGGTCCGACCCCAGCGTTTTAATATTGTAACGCGGGTCCGACTCCAGCGTTTTGATGTTGTAACGTGGGTTCGACCTTCGCGTTTTGCTGTTGACACACGGGGAGGACCTCCGCGTTTTGGTGTTGACACACGGGGAGGACCTCCGTGTTTTGGTGTTGATTCATGGGGAGGACCTCCGCGTTTTGGTCTTAGAGCGCGGTGATGAGTTCCGCGTCTTGCTTTGGAGAGATTATCAACAAGTAATCTCTTTTGTCATAGCGTTGCAAAGATCATTGTCTTGTAATCTTTGTCTTGGCTCCTTGAGAATATGAGAGTCGTCAGATTGTAACTCCCGATGTTGATTGTGAATGTTGTTGAACTAGAGCTCTCATCGGTTGTCGTGAAGGTCGTCAGATTGTAACCTTCAGCGATCTACGTGAAAGTCTTCAAATTGTAGCCTTCTGGAAGTCATCAGATTGTAACTTCCAACTTCGGTGTTTGATGGGGGATAAGCTATCTATTGTGATTTTTAGACAGCCTACAGTCTTAACCGACCCCACTTCATGGAAAACAGTTTTAAAACCATTCAAGTGGTTTAAGGGGTGTAATCCCCTCTAAAATCATGGGAGAACGGTTTTAGAACCGTTTAACTCGTATTTGAATGAGTCAAATGCAAAATCTATGATTTGGGCACGAACACTGTGTTCTGGGACTAAAACGCAGAGTTGGGACCTACGTTGGTGGCTGAGAACGCACAGGTCGCGCTGCATTTTGAATCTGGACTGCAAGGCTGACCCTTGCGTTTTGAAGTTGGAACACAGCTCTTGAGCTTTACGTCTTATTTTGGAACACAGCTACGAGTTCTCTGTTTTACTTTTGGGAGTTTGGAATGCGGCCACGAGCTCTGCGTTTTGAATCTGGGACGCAGAGGTCAGCTCTGCGTTTGGATTTGAAGAGACCGTTAATTTTTAGTCTCTTTTGCTAGAGCGTTGCAAAGACCGTTATCTTGTAATCTTCATTTTAGCTCTTTGAAAATATGAGAGTCATCAGATTGTAACTCTCGATGTTAATTTTAAAAGCTGTTGATTGAAGCTTTTATCAGTTGTTGTGAAGGTCGTCAGATTATAACCTTCATCGATTTACGAGAAAGTTTTTAAATTATAGCCTTCTTGAAGTCGTCAAATTATAACTTTCATCATCGGTATTTGATGGGGATAAGCTATCTACAGTGAATTTTAGGCAACCTACAATTATAAGTCAATTTCTACCCCACTTCCTGTTAATTTTAAGTTATCTTCCAGTATGAGTTCTAGCAGTGAAGAATAGAGGATGAAGATGTTTCGAGTATCATATGCATCAACAGTGGGAAGTCTAATGTTTGATATGATTTGTACAAGACTAAACATTACACAAGCAGTGAGAATGGTTAGTCGATATATGGTGAATCCTGATAAAGAGCATTTGAATGCTGTAAAGAGGATCGTAAGATACATTAAGGGAACCTCAAATGTTGCATTATGTTATGTGGGATCAGTTTTTATTGTTAATGGATATGTTGATTCTGATTATGCAAGTGGTCGTGATAATAGCAAATCCACCACTAGCTATATGTTTGCTCTTGCTGGCGGAGCTGTAAACTGGGTTTCAAAACTGTAATCAGTTGTGACTACTTTAATAATAGAAGCAGAATATGTAACAGATACACAAGCTAGTAAGAGGTGATATGCTTGAAAATAGTGCTGGAGGAACTCGGACATGAACAAAAAAGATTTCTTTATTTTGTGACGGTTAAAGTGCTTTACATTTGACAAAAAATCCAGCCTTTCATTCGAAGACAAAACACATTCGAGTTCAGTACCACTTCGTTCTTTATTTTGTGTCGATCTTTTTGTGGTCTGTCGGAGACGTGAGTAACATGAAGATGACAAGACATAAAGAATAGTGTGAAGATATAATTGATACTCAATCAAATCTTCAAGTGAGAGATTGATGAAGAGTTACTGTGTCTACAATAAATACCTACCCCTGCTACAGTAATCACCAACCACAAATGTTACTGTAGCAACACTGCACAAACTCACTTATATATAGCTCTCCCCACCGTTAAGTTTAGATTATCTTAGTGTCTCCAATTAAGAGTGAAAAGAAAGAGAGAAGGAGAGAGAAAGAGAGAAAAATAGAGAGAGTTTCTCATTGAGAAGAGAGATTATAACTCCTAAATTTTTCTCATAGTGAGTTCGTTTATCCTTGCCCGTGGTTTTTACCCCAAATTCATTTAGAGGGTTTTCCACGTAAATCTGTGTGTTCATTTTATTATTTCTGCTCTACTATTCGCTGAGATAGAGTCCCCGGGTTTATCCTAACAGTTCGTCCACTACTTTGATCATAAATATATCTCAGTAAAAGCTTCTCTCAGTTAATATTCCATTTTATGAACATGAACTGAATTACATTTGCAATGAATCTCATTTAACTCAATATTTCCCTAACTGATGCATGCACTAAAAACAGCAACCAAGGAAGCTGAAACCTTCCAGATTCAGGCGCAGTTAATAGAAAAACAGTAACTGATCTCTGTCAACAACTTAACGCTATAAAGTAAGGCCAAATTAAAATAATCTGATAGATAGCCTCTGAAGAGAAGAAAGATACTAGAATAGGGCCAATATGAAAAATTTTCAACTTCTCATCGCAATAGCAATTCTATTAGCAGCTTGCAAACTGGCTACTTCAGACGAGATTATCTTCACCGACAAGCTAAGAAGAGCAGGTGGGCAGGATGCACTGCTGAAAATTCAATGCAAAGGACCAAAGCCACAAACTTGGGGTCAAACAACCACATTAACTTACAATGCCAGCATCAAGATAAGCATGCCGAAACACCAGGAGTTGGGCAAAAATGCATTTTGCTTTGCGGGTTTTCGATGGGAAGCTGAATCCTTTGGTTTTGTTGTGTACTCATATGCTAGAGATCATAAGAGGTGTGTGAAGAGCTGCAAGCTAGAGGCAAGATGGGACGGATTGTATGGATTTAACGATCAGACCAATGGTTGGGATCTTGTCGCAAGATATCCGATTCATCCGTTAGGATTAGGTTTAGGACAATAATCAAATTTTTATATCGAATGCATAAGAAATAGATGTGATAGTTTTGCTGTCACGTTTAGTGTTTCTTGCATTGTTGGCTCCTTTTAACCATTATCTAAAGAGAACAGAGTGAATTTGTTTGGATGATTATAAAGTTTGCACTCAGTAAACAGATACTATATACAAATTTTCTTTAGATTGCCAATGAGAATCCCACTGTACACGTATCCGGGAATTTTAAAGATTAGAAAACCTGCAATCTTTTCAATTGAGCAAGACCACTATATTAATGCAACAAAAGAAACAAGAAGTACCACCTTTATGTACTTCTTAATTTCAGATAAATGCCTTCATATCTGAAAATCAGTAACAAATTTCATTACAAATCGTCAACAACAGAAGGAAACATTTGAAAAAAATTGACAAAATTACATCTATCACCGGGAACCATCAGCACCGCACTAAAACAAAAATAACCATGCAATATTTATCTGACAAATGCACAAAATTGACAAAAAGGAAAATAAAAAGGATTTAAAAAAAAAACAAAAACTCAAAGCTACATATCCACAGCAGACCAATTCACCAAATCTCCATCTTCAGACTTGTAACAATTAGAAGTGCTTAACCCTAAACTTCCAAAACCCTTTAACAGCATTAAATGAAACAAACTCAGCCTTCTGCTCCTCAGTCTTCTTCATCAACTTCTCCTTAAACTTCTCCACCTTGATCCCCTCAGTATAACACGCTCCTGTCTTCTTGTCAACACACTTGATATTAAGAAGCGTCACCTCCGCTGGCTTGTTGAGTCCCTCTCCAACCGGAGGTTTCATGTTCTCGTCTTTGTACACAATCACCTCTCGGTCATTGAACTGGACAATGGACTCAAGATCGAGATATCTGACATCAGTCTCGCCTTTGAACTTGATACTTCCATATCCATGCCGTCCAATTACAAAGTCCTTCACATGGCAACAGAATCCTGGCTCTTGTCTCTCCTTAGCAGCTAGCTCAGGGATTCTTGGCTCGGTGTAGTACTCAGTGTTTGGAAGTTTGGGCATCAGAGTATCAATATCATCACAGTGCTCATAGACTTTAAAATTGATGTATGATGAATCGGTTAGTTTATGAAAATGGCCATTGGTGATTAAATTCTGCTTCTTCTCTCTCATACAGGTGTTTCCTGCTGGGCTTTCTGCATTACAGTGTCAATTCCAGAAGTCAGGGACTTGGATCAGATTAATGCAAGAAGTAACAGATTGAAAACAGATGAGATGAGAGGGAAAAAAAAAGATAAGGTTTAAAGTGGTTTGTGATAAGTATGACAAGTATAGATCAGTATTGAAATAGTTATGTCGAGAAAGGTTTATACACACACGATGTGCCTTTACAGCATATGTTTTATGGTAATTCATTCTCAACTGCAGTGCAGAGTTCAATTACGGAATTATTGGGAACCAAAATTGGGTAGCTAAATTCATTGTTATAAGCAATTTAGATCATCTTGAAATCTGCATCACATAGACAGATATTGTTGTGGTAGTAACTGGCAGTGCAGAGGTTTTTTTTTTAAACATAAATGTTGATACATGGTTTAAACATTTCTATGAGGAAACGGTAGTGCCATAGTAGTTATCTATTGCTCATAATTAATAATTTAAACATAAAACTATATATTTTTACCATTTTCATTAGTTGGAATAGACTGGCTCTCAATGCTAGCTCTTGAGGGCCACTGTTCACTTTGGCGAATAACGAATGATCTTGGCTTCTCCCTTGGTTTGAAAAATATATCAACCCCTGATGATGTCTGTTGTCCTTCATCCTCCATGAAGAATGATGCCTGTGAAAAAGAAAAAATAAGTAAATTGTAAAAGACAATTTTCTTCACACTTCAAAGAAAGATAAATCTTTCAAGTAAAACCGGACTAGTTCTCAGATAAGAATAAATACTTTGTATGAAAATGACTCACCTTTGGACCATCAACTTTAGCATTATATTTCCTCAGAGGCAAACTAATCCTTCTTTGAGACAAGTGTCTAAGAGCTGATAAGCTCGATGTTTTGGTTGGCGTGGACTTCTCAGCAACCTGTTAGGCAGAAAATCATACAATAAAGTTAGCATCGTAAAAATAAATTACTATATGCTCCAAATGCATGAGTAAGATGTCATATGTATGTATAAAGTATTAAACTCATATACTAAGAAGTTTTTAACTAGTAGAAAGACTCACAGGCATGCTAGAAATCCCATATTGAACATGTTCAGAGCCTCTTTGACCAGAAAAGATCCGAGGTGGTGCTGGCAATGTTCCCCAAGGATTAGCTGTAGACACTGGTTCAGTGACCATGTTGCACTTAGTGTTCGGTCTGTTACATAAATAGACATAAGTAAAGAAAGTTAATGAATAATTGAAACCAGGAAAGTAACGTGCAGGTGGATGTTAAAATATAGAACTTACAGTTGTGCAAAGAGACCCTGAGGAGCTTTGAACTCACAGTTGGACGTGGAAGATGCTGTAGTTGCAAATGTAAGATAAAAATAAATCCTAAAAATTTAATTGGAGATTAACAAGGAAGAAAATATAAACATAAATCTGAGATACCTGGGTGTGTCGGAATTACGTAACTTGATGTCTGAGCAGCGCTAGCCACTTGAGAAGCAGGCAAAGTCGAAGGCTGTCAAATATAACCAATCAATCGGTTAATTAACAACATCATAATTGGCAAAAGGTAAAGGGTTTCGTGGATGACTTACATTTGTTTGACCAGAATTCCATTGACTGGCCATAGGAAATTGTAAAGATGTAGTGAATGGTGTGGAGGTGGCGATCGAAGTTGAAGAGATTGAGCTAAAAGAGCTCGGTGGTGTAGTGAACTGTGGGCTTTGAGGTACTATGAAATACAGAAAAATTGGAGATGTTGTCTGCATAATAGATGGAGTTGAAGATGTATCGAATGGCGAGGAGATGGTTGAAACCCCATTCAAAGTGGAAGAGGTCGAACTAAAAGAGCTAGGCAGCATAGAGAATGGTAAGCAGGAAACTGAATTGCTCGAGGAAATAAAGTCAGTAGCGAATGGGTTAGTGCTGGTCTGGCCACCAGGATTTGCTTCCTTTGAGAAAGGAAAACTGAAGGTTTCATTGAACGATGAATTAGAACTGGTATGTGCAGAAGGATTAGCCCCGGTTTGTCCTGAAGTTGAGAATGTAGGTTTGAAATTGAAAGATGTATTAGCACTGTTCTGTTGAAATTGAGAGAAAGTAGGGGTTTGGTTGGACGATGAATTAATACTGGTTTCTGCAGAAGGATTAGCTCTGTTCAGTCCTGAAGTTGTGAATGTAGGTGTGTGATTGAAAGATGGATTCGCATTGTTCTGTGTGAATTGCGAGAAAGCAGGGGTTTGGTTGGACAATGAATTAGAACTGGTTTGTGGAAAAGGATTAGCACAGGTCAGCCCTGGAGTTGCGAAAGTAGTTGTGAAGTTGAAAGACGGATTCGCAGTGTTCTGTGCAAATGATGAGAATGTAGTTTTTTGGCTGGAAGATGAAATAAAACTGCTCAGTCCTGGAGTCGAGAAAGTATTTGTGCGGTTGAAAGATGGATTCACACTGTCTTGTGCAATTGATGAAGATGGAGATGTTTGGTTGTAAGATGAATTTGAACTGGTCAGTCGAAAAGGATTAGCTTTCTCTGACGAGGGAAAATTAACGGCAGCTCCAAATTGTCCAGCATAATTTGGGCCTCCTGACATTGATAATTAAAACACAAAATATAGAAAATAAGTCCGAAGATAATAACAAGAAAAGAAAACAGCTATCCTTGAAGACGCACCGAATGAAGTCGAAAACATGGTTTCTTACCTTTATCTCCGCGTTGATAATCCTCCCATCTAAGTTCCTCATGACTTTTATCTTTGTACACTGACATCTCTGATATTGACTGCAGATAAATATTTGACTGTTTATTGTTCTTATCTTCAATAGTAAGTGTTGGCGTATGCTTTGCCATCCTACTCCCCCCTTGTTGGCCCCCAGATGTTGTCTGTCCAGATCCTGGATTACCAAATGTGAAGTTTGCCGTTTTAACACCTGCAAAAATGAAATATTTACAATATTGTAACTTCTTACCAACGAAAATACATGTTTTTATATAAGGCTGCCTTAGCAAAAGAAAAAAAAAACTCACCGTATGTGGAGTTCTGGGTGCCAAAAGCTGATGATGTAGTTCCGAATGTCATGCCAAAAGGTGGTGTAGATGCATTAAGCAAAGTCGAAGATCCAGCTAAAGTGGGGCTAGTCATCGCAAATGATGGAGAAGTTGAAGTTCCAAAGAGAGAGGTACTTTGTGCACCAACGGCTGATGTGCTTGTTGAACCAAATGATGTGCTACTAGGAACCCCAAATGCTGTTCCAGTACCACCCAAAAATGAAGTTGTAATAGGCCCAAACGCTGGCGAATTTGTCGAGCCAGTAGATCCAAATCCATTTTGACTCGATGCACTTAAGGGTTTGGTTGAGCCAAAAGTATGGCTTCCAAATGTAGGGGTTGTTTGCTGCAATGTGCTTCCAATTGTTGTTGATCCAAAGCTTCCAAAGCTTGCATTCTGTCCACACTGGGTAGATCCTGCGAAACAGGACAAAGATTTGAAGTCAAACACAAAGACAAATGATCAAAAAGTTGCACTGAATTATGTTTGATATGTCCAAAAAATTTGGACAGAAAAGCAGTGAAGAAAATAATACTTGTTTTGCAACTAAATCTGTTATATACAAGTTTTTTTTTAGTTTCATTAATGTGGTTTATAAATTTGTTGAACCTCATAATCGAAGCTCAAAGCAGTTGCTAAACTTCAAAACTAACTTAATAGAAACTCAAGGGTTGTAAATCTGTTAAATACTAGATTTTTTTTTCTAGGTTCATTAATGTGGTTTATAGATTTGCTGAACCTTGAACCTCATAATCAGGCTCAAATCAGTTGCTGCACTTCAAAACTAACTTTGTAGAAACCCAAGGGTACTTGGTCATCATAGCTCTTAAAATTTTGTGGTAGATTCAACATAAAGAATTATTCTGTGGTATATGATAAAAAAGAAACGCAACCTTCCTACAAAGTTCTGTAAATAACTATAAAGAATTACACGTCATATCTCTTAATATTCCCTTCTGTTTAACATACTGTTTGAAGGAAAGAGACCTTTAGCATCAAAGAGAAAGGACAACAGTTTTGGTATAAGATGTCAACAACGGATCCTCGGCTCTATGAATTATGTACACAAAAATTTGTTCTGCCATTTCACATTGAAATTAATACGCTAGATCAACATATCTTAGCAATAGCGAAGCACTTTCTGATTTACTATTTGCTTGCTGTTTCCTGTTATTTTCTTTTATGTCCATTGAAGACTACGTTACTACGTGGTATATGATACGTTGGTGAAAAAAAACTAAGACAATCATCTCTGTTATGTATAAGTAAATCCGACGACCAAATACTCCCGCTTACACACACAGAAAATACGGCTGACTAGTCTGCGTAGAAGAACGCACCTCCGGCGGACCTCGTCGGCGACGGCGGAGATGGGCGAAACCTAGCTGAGCTCGCCTGAGTGATGAAACTCGCCTGTAGACGAGGTGCAGGCGAGGGATTCGCCAGGCGAGGGATTCGCCAAGCGAGGGATTCGTCAGGCGACGTCTTGGACAGGCGAGGAAAACTCGCCTGCGATCGTAGGAGGGCGAGGCGAGGTCGCCTGTTGGGGGTTGTGAGTCACCTGCGGGCCTGTAGGCGAGATCGACGAGCTCGCCTGTTTGAGTTGGGGACAGCTGGCAACAGCTAGATCACTAGGGTTTCCCTATAAAAGGGAAACCCTGTTCATGAGCCCCCTTTGCCGCGATTTGGGAGCGGAGCAGAAATCCTCTAGCAGCGCTCTCTCTCTTAGGGTTGAGCATGTGAACAAAGTGACGTGGGAGCCACCCACGTGATTGCTCCTGTGCTATCCGCGTGAAGAGATGAAGCCGGATACACGTGAATTCGTGAAAACGCGTGAAAAGCAATCTCGTGCTCCTGTGCTATATATATCTTTGTAATTCGTTCCCTAGGTTTTCGGTGCTGGAGGTTTTGGTTGCTCTTTTGGCTGCGGACAGAAGAAAAGCTGCAGAGGAGAACAGGGTGCGCAGGAGGTTTAATTTAGTCCCTTCTTTAGGGTTTTGTGCATTCTTTTGTAGAGAGATATTGTGAAGGATTTGAGAGTTTGTTTGAGGGTTTAGATTAAGAGTGATTGTAAACCCTAGTTGTATTCTCTCCCTTGTTGTGACTGATGCTTTGAGAAACCAAACCAACGAACGCCGAGAGAAAGACCAAACAAAACACAAACACCAAGGTTTTACGTGGTTCGGCAAATTGCCTACGTCCACGGGGCAAGAAGGGGGTGGGTTTTCACTAATAGAGAAGGAGAGTACAAATTGAGATTACAAATCGCTCAAACGAACCAACTAATCTCACCAACAAATCTCTCAATCTCTCAACCAATAACCCTAACAAATAGCTCAGAAAGATCTCTCTTTTTCTGTGCTCCAAAACCCCAAAATTCTCCCCACAAAACCCTCAAATCGTATTGGTATTTATACCAAAACAGAAACCCAAACAGACTGCAAATAGGAACCTGAACTTTCCAAAAAACCCGTCATAAGTCGACTTATCAGTCTGCATAAGTCGACTTGGCAGAGCGAAAAACAGCAACTGGAGAAGAGATCATAAGTCGACTTATCAGACCTGATAAGTCGACTTGGCAGAGCAAAAAACCAACAATCCAGAGCAGAACGTAAGTCGACTCATGCACCAACATAAGTCGACTTACCATAAGTCGACTTATGCCTGTGCATGAGTCGACTTATGACCAAAAATCTGCTTTTTCCAATTCTTCTCCACAATTCTCCACCTCGGCGAAGTTTTCCCAAAACTGAGCCGACACCAACCAAACAAATGCCTCACATGCTGAGACCCAAATGAGAGTGTGAACACTCACCCCAAATGTCGATGTCGCTCACCAAATCGGCTGCATCAAAATGACTGCCTACGTATCCTTTGCCCAAGGAATCAAGCCTTCACGTAGTTCACCCAAACGGCCTCCAAAGGCCCTCAATCAAATAGAAAAGTCTGCAACTCTTCTCCAATATCACCAAACGATCTGCAACTGATAGTATTCCCAATGACCCCAAATTGAGACAAATCAAACACCTCCACCTGAGGTAAACCAATGGCCATATCCAAACTATATCTACCAGCTGCAACTGAATCCAAAACCAATCCATCATCTGCATCCAAAACCAAATGATCTCCAACCTGTGTCACCTTAGCTGGAATCCCAAATGACGCAGTATGATCTGGAGTATGTGGAGTAATCTCCACCCAACGTGGAGTAGCATCACTCTCCACCTGCTGCGATATCCAAATGACCTGATCAACACTCTCCACCTGCCGAGAGTCAAAAGTGACATACCTGCTCAGAACAAAATCAGAAGCTCCCAAACGATAATCAACTGAGCCTCCGAACCCCAAACGCGCAATCGGATCCAATCTCACATCCACGATGTGACCAAATGCTGGGTATCCAAATATCCGACGCGACCCAAAATCTGAAGCAGCTCCACCAGATCTAATAACTCCTAAAGCAGCAGTCGGCGACCTATGCATAAGATGACCCAAATATGTCGAAGCCCGCACACCAATGCCAATGCTCGACATCAAACGCCGATCCTCCTCCAGAAAGGAACGACCCATCGAAACTGTCATCTCATCTCGTCGCCCCAAAGTCTCCACACCAATGAAGTGTCTCCTATTGCCGTGAGCTCGGCACCAACGCAAGAAAGGACCCCTACCAAAGCTGAAACAATGAGTTACCTTTCTGCCAATACACTTCTTCCAATTGTTGTTGACTTCTAGGACTTTACACCAACGGGAACTGGTCGCGACCCAATAATGCCTAGAACAATCACCAACTGTGGAAACCAAGATACGATTACCTCCCAATGATGCCTCCTTGGAAGGCCCCCAAATGCCTGACTGAACACCTCCAAAAAGACCCCTCGCTCGATGGATAGAAGTGCCAAACTCCACCACGGTCTCGCTCATCCTAATGTGCTCACAGGACTTCAATCTGCAGGTCATAGCACTCCTCAACAACCAATGCACGGTATTACCAATCATATACCCCAGCACCAAACAATGCCACAGTCTAGCCGAATCTGATGAAGTCGTCATTTCCCTATCAATCACCGTGCTTCCGTGCAAATAATACAAATTTCTTCTTCTGACGCCCTTCATCACAATCATGGACCCAAATGTAACCTTCAAGCGTGCATCCGCCAAGGTCACCCTATAGCCAGCTGCCTCCAAAGCTCCAAGTGAAATGATGTTCTTCTTCAACTGAGGAACGAACCTCACTCCAACCAACTCCCGAATCACCCCGTCACTCATCCTGATCCGAACAGTACCAATACCACCAATAGAGCATTTGTGATCATTCCCCATGAGCACGAAATCCCCTCTTTCCAACTCCTGAAAGCTGGAGAACCAATCCCTCCTAGGGCAAATGTGGTATGTAGCACCCGAATCCAATATCCACTCTGTAGAGTAGGCAACACAAACTGACGGCAGTGCAGATAACGAGTAGCCCGAAGAATCCGAATCTGAATCGTTGCCACTAGCCTTGACAACATTCGCCTCTGAAGCTTGAATAGCTTTTCCCTTATTCTTCCCGGCTCGATCAACTAACTTTGGGCAATCGGCTTTCCAATGTCCATCTTCTTTGCAAAAGGCACATTGATTCTTACGAACTCCAAGATGTGCCCCTCTAGACTGCGACCTCCCACTACGGTTTGGACCCTTTGCTCTTGCGACCAACGCCCCCGCTACCGGCTCAAACGAAGTCTCCTTATCCTTCTTTCGAAGCTGATAATTCACAAGTGCAGCGGT